GCCAGATGTGCAGCCACTAGGCAGATGGCGGGAAATGTGTTTTTACACATTAATCTGTTAATGCAAAGGTCCCAGTGCAGACATTAACACTCAAAAGCATTATGTGGAGTTGGAACAATCCCTGGAAGAGTTGGGTTCCATAAAAAATGATTCTGACAGTCTGTGACAGAGATAATCCTGCTCTATTTCCATGCCAAAAGCCTGGCTTCCAATCAAGAAACAGATCTAATGAGCCAGACTCACTCCTGTACCCACACCAGTACTGGCATGCTGCTTCCACCACTCCAGCCACTCTTTACAGCAGCACCCCAGCCCAGTGATGACATTATTATTATTCTTTTAATTTTTGTTCATTATTATTTTAGGTCAGAAAGAAGCAGCAGCAATGAAGGGAATGATAAAGTAGTAGAAACAAATCTTGTATTTTTTCAGTTGCAGAGATGAATGATGATGATGATGATATATTTGTATTACAGTAATGCCTAGAAGCCCCATCTGAGATCAGAGCCTCATTGTGCTAGGTACTGTGCAAACATAGTAAGAGAAGATCTCTGCCCTTAAGTCTAAATACAAGGCAGATAAAGGGTGGGGGGAAAACAGAGGTGATTAATCCACCCCACTCTCTGGGTGAGCCAGGAATAAAGCTCACATTTCCTAACTTCCAGCCAGGTGTCTAGTCACTGGACCACACTGGCCAGACACAGTCTACAATATTTTATAAGTGTTCTCAAACTATGACAATTTAAAAAATATAAAGAAAGCCTGACTTTTTTTCTTTAAAGGGAGGAGGAGAAGAAAGGGAGAGAAGAAAGGAGGTTCTGCTTGCTTTCATTATTAGAGATTCAGGTCTAGCCTACATAGTTCTTTTTCAGAAAGACTCTACGAACAATTTGAGAACTAATGGGCTTATGGTAATGATGTCAGAGACACCAAATGTGTAAAATCTGGATCCTCCAGATTTAGATGCACACCCATGTGTCATTACACAGAAGACAAATCATGTTCCTCTGATAGAATGATGTAGGAGAAATTTGGTCTGGGGATCTTTTCAGAGCTTTCCTTCCCCTTAATCTCCTCCTGCAATTATTACTGCACAAGGGGGGGTTCTGACTCAAAGGGTTTAATTTCTGAGTAAGGGAGATACAAAGGATGACAGAATCAGGCTCTGAGTGCACCAAAAGTCCTAATTAATTTTAATTTTGCATGTCTAGTATAATTGCTGACTAGCCTTCCACTAAAGCTAAATCCTGAAATGGGTGTTTCATCTGTGAGCTTGGGAAAATCTCGTCACACACTGAAGTCACTCGTCTATTTGATTGCTAATTGCCTTTAAGAGTCCTGTTTGGCTAGTCCTACTTAGCAAGTAAGTATCACCAGAGAAAGACAGTAGATTTCCTAAGATGTGGATAGTAGCATAAACAAAGCTATTAAGAAGGATGAGGAAAACATTATTGATAATTTCTGGGGTAACCAGCAGAGGCAAAACAAATTCAGAGGACATTAACTTGGTCATAAACATCCTTTATTACTCAACTGCTCCACAAGAAAATACAGGGGGAATGGAGAAAAGAAAAGAAATAAAGAAAGGAGGAAGGAGAGGGTATTTTATGGTGTCTGGGACAAATTACATTATCAAGCAAGGATGTATTTTAATTAAAGGACAATGTGTCTTGAGAGTATCATCTCCTGCCTTCTTCCAACCTTCCACTCCAAGAGAAGATGCATAGATGTTGAGGTCAGAAGAGACCATTCTGATCATCTAGTCTGACCTATATAATATAGACATGAAAACATGAGATGAATTTGAACATAATGTGATTTCACTGCTTTACTGGAGATTCTTAAGAGGCAGATTAAGTCAAAGACAACCAATGCACACTGGAGGGACTGAACATTTCACTGTGGCCGCAGTTCAGCAAGGCACTTTAACATATGCCTAACTTTAAGCAGGTAGATAGTCCCATTAATTTAAATGGGATTAATTCTGTGCTTAAAGTTAGGCATGTGCTTAAGTACCTTGGTGAATCAGAACCTGGACAGGAAAGTGTCTCTTTTTTTGTAGTCAGGGACCCAATTCATGGTTGTGTTGCTCTATGACCCTTAACACTAGTTCTGACAGTGTCAATGAGACAAAGTCACTGTAACTGATCACTACAGAATGTTCCTGGCATAGGGAAAATTGGATTGAGATGTGGAAGTTCTGATGTTTATTTTGTATGTATTAAATGTTTAAAAAAACAACCTTGATGTTCAACATGATTTCTGCTTCTGCCAGACATCTCCACTACAAGCTACATATCCAATGATATAGCTCAACAACAGGGATATTCAAAGAATAGTTAATGTGGATAATATAATTATTATGATCACAAATTACAACAACGATCATATTGGTCTTTATATGGGTGTATGAGGAAGCAAAATTCCTTCCTGAGCATCCCCAAAGGCAGGGCAGAGAAAAATCACCCACAATATGAACTATAACTAAATGATCATGATTCACCCCCTACCTTCTGTGGGCTGGCCTTTGGACTGGGGCCTGCATAATGGTGCAAATAAGCCACGCCCACAAAGACGTGTACCAGTGGGAAGTGCTCCACCAGTGCACTGGAAAGCTTGGAGCTTTCAGAGTCTGATTTCTGACCCAAAGGCTCTTGAGACAGTGCAGAGCTTCCTCCCCACCCCAGTGCAGGTTTTACCTAACTGACACAAATGGCTTCTAAGTCAAATGACTTAATTCGAGGGATTGACATAAGGATTTCAAGGTAACAAAGTACAATTAATTTCTCCTGTGCATTAGGCTGCTAAACTCCCATTTTGAAGTGTTTTGTGCTAGAGTGCCACCACTATTGCTGATGATATTCATCTCAATAACTTTTTTCCATTTAAACTAGATGGTGCCGTCCTGGCTTTCCCATTACTTGACTGAGCAGGAGTATGGATGAGAGGAGCTGTCCAAAGTTTGATCTGGACAAGACAGTGTGGGGCAAAAGGAAACAGGCACAGTACTTGTGGGGGTATCTGTTTCCCTCTTCTCTTGGTCAAATAGGTTTGCAACTTAAAAGTTCTTTTGGCCATTGTCTGCTTCTGGATTACAGGGTAGAAGTAGTGGCCATAACACCAGTTAGCAAAGTGACTGCAAACTTTCCTTTCAGAAATGGACCTCACTATGAATAAAGTCTTTGTCACTTCCTGGTTGTACTACTGTGATTCACTCTACTTGGGGATATGCTTGAAGACCACTCTGAAGTGTTACTTAGCATAGAATATGTAAGAACAGTTGCTTAGAGTTGTGATCTCTACAAAGCACATTACACCCGTGCTCTGTATGTGGTCTTGACTTCATACTTGCTTTTGAGCACAATTCAAGGTGTTTGTGAAGGCCCTTGTCTACACTTAAAAACTAGGTCAGCCTAGCTACATTGCTCAGGGCTGTGAAAAATGTCATGCTCTGAATGCTGTAGTTATGTTGACCTAACCCCGTGTAAATGCGGCTAGGTCAACGGATGAATTCTTCAGTCAACTTAGTAACCATCTCTCTCAGAGGTGGATAAACTACATTGATGGAAAAAAACCTTTGCATTGATGTAGGAAGCGTCTATGTTACAAGCGGCATAACTTCAGAGCTGCTGCTGTAGTGCTTGTAACATAGACATAGCCTCAATCTTTAAAGTCATATTGGCTCTATTGCTAGCTGTTCAAGACACTTCCCCGTATGTACTACCTTGACAGGTGAGATCAGCTAAGGCACTCATTGACCGTCTCTAAATTTGAACTCTAAGGGATGGGAGATACAGCATCTTTAGAGGGGCATCTTCAGCCTTGGAACTTGTTTCCCTTGTTGATCTGCCAGAACCTGTTTTTCAACCTTTCAGGCATAGCACAAAGCCCATCTGTTTACTGACAGATGTATTAGAAGGTAGGTAGGATACATGGGAAATCTCAGAATAGTTTGGGTCTAGTATTTCTGCGTATGGTGTCAGTAAATCTGCCTGCAATTTTATGTTTCTTATAAATATGTAGGTATACTCAGGGGTTTGAATGATGGATTTTTGCTTTATATCAGTATTAGGCTGATGATTTTTCTATCAGCATTTTGGTGGAAAAAGCCGTATCAACCAAAACAAAAATGTTCACAAAAGGTTTTCACTTGGGTGGAAAATGTTAATTTTTCAATTAAAAGTTTCTAAATTAAAAACTCTTTCTATTTTGGTGAGGGGAAAAAAGAGTTTCTCTGACTTTTTTTACTTTCCAGTCCCTTTGCCAGTGGTGGTGGTGGTGGGGAAAAAAGTAAAAAACGAGTGTTTTTAAAAATTGCAACTGCAACCTTAATTCTCGAATTTCCTGGTGTTTTAGTACTTGACTTTGCCACATTAATGTTCTTTTAATGCAGTTTTCGATGTGATTTCCTAATTAAAAAAAAAAACCTGAAAAACTGAAATTCTATCCTGTGGAACCACATATATTGACTCCCTCCCAGCTTGGGTCATCAGCAGGGTTTGGACAGCTAGAGGCACAGCACAGGCTGCTAGGGTTTGCGCTAGGAGCGTGACTGATAGAAGTAGTAGGCTGTTACCCTTAAAGTGGTTCACAGCTACTCGCTGCCAGCAGAGGACTCCAGAGACCCTGGACTCCTGGGTTCAAGAGGGGAGCAATGTCTGGGGTTACAGGCCATTCTGGCCCCTCTTCCCCGCGGTGACCACGCAGCCAGCTCGGGCAGTACCCTCACCCCAGGCTCTCTGGGGCCTGGCCCAGCTGGGCGGCCGCCGAGGCGCGGGCGGCACGCGCTGGCGCCCCCACCGCGCGGCGGGAACTGAGGGCTCACAGCCAACTGCCGCCTTCTCTCCTGGCCGCCAGGGGGCGGGGCTGCCGCGGAAGGTGAGGGCGGCTCCCTGCCAGGGGGCGGGCCATGAATCTCGGTCGCCGGGGCGGGGACACGTAGCGCGCTGCGGAGCGAGGCGATTGGCCGGCCGTTGCGCGGTGCCGGAGTGGAACGTCTGCACAGGGGCGGCCGCACGCGCGCCGCAGCCCGACCCGGGACCGCCCCTTCCTTAAAGCCGCAGCCCGAGTGGGAGCCGCAGTGGCGGCATTAGCAGCGGCGAGTGCCAGGCGCCGTTGGCTGCAACGCTTCGCCCCGGGGCGCTGACTGGATGCGGCAGAGCCCCTCCCGCTACCCCCAGGCACCGAGCCCCGCCGGAGCCCGCGCCCCTCGCAGCGCAGCAGCCTTCGCCGGCGCCCCGGGCTGGCAGGATGTTTGACAAGGCGCGGCTGCCCTTCGTGTTCCTGGATGTAGTCTGCGTGGTGCTGGGTACGTCCCCGGCCGCTTCGGTGCCTCGCTCTGCCTCGCTTGCTGTCCCCCGGGCTGCGCGGGGCTTGGCACCCTCCCTGCCGCGGTGTGGGGTGCGCGGCTGGCTGCGGCAGGGCTCCGCTCGGCTCGCGGTGCGGGCCACACGCTAATCACGGGCTGTCTGTCCTCCCCTGGGAAGGAGGCTGCTCCAGCTGCCAGCACGGGGGCAGCCTTCTCCGGCGAACTGCTTCCGCTGCTCTCCCGTCCCCTTTCATCCCTTCACCGCCCGCTGTCTTCTCCCTCCTCCCCAGAGCGACTGGGCGCCTCTCGCCCTCCCTTCCCCTTCACCTGGAGAAACCTGGTCGCTGTGACTGCCCCAAATCAGGAGGATCAGCAGCTGGCTAACGCAGTTAATGGCTCTAAACCAGAAGCACGTACTGTATATAGACCCACCGCGGTTCGTTACCAGCCGAAGTGAAGCATTGGAGGGGGCTGTCCTGGCAGTCGGTTCCACCTGAAAGCAGATTACTTGGGCTATTTTTCTGTAGGTGTTTGAGGTTCACTACGATTTTGTTCCTTTCTTTGCCTAGGTATTTTAATGTAGTTGACCAGCTTGAGACAGTGGTGATGAATAGGAAATGAGCGTTTATTTCTAGAAGGCTAAACCTTACTAATTTTGTCTTGTGTAATGTGATGCAAATCTACTCTCTCAACCTCTTCCAGGTCTCTAACCTTTTTCAGGTTTTTATTTTCTATCTGCTTTGTCAGGCAATGAGTAGCAAACCTATTCTTGTTACAGCTCAGGGAACTTCTGTATTTCCTAGGCTGTGTCGTTTGGAGATTTGTTTTTCCTTTTCTCCTTGGTTTAGGTAGCCCACTTTCTTCTGCAGAAAAATCAACAAGAGGGCTAGTTGGAAAATGTGTTTTGTTCTTTGTTTTTGTGACATGAAGGATGGTACATGGTAATAATGATGCAGCAGATGAAATATACAATAAACCCTGATCAAACAAATTCCTGATGATTAGAGCATCTGGTTGTTGTCAATGTTCTCCACTCTCTAACCCTAGGCACTTGTAAAGGTAACCCCCAATTTACATAGCTAGTAATAGGAAAGCTACTTTTTAGTAAAAGCTGATACAAGTAAATGGATGGAATTCTACGTATAACTCGTAATCTCAGCAGCATGCTGGTGGTGATGTAGCATCTTCTTTCATAAGCAGATGTCAGTATTGGACTTGGTGGAGACTAATAGGAATGTTTAAGGGTTTACAAGTTCTTTCACTACAACTTAGTAATGTCTACTGTCTAGCATGCCGCTGCCCCATTAAAACTGTTAACAGCATTTAGTGTGACTTCCCTGGCATTAGTATCCATCTTTCAATAATAGTGCAGCTTCACTGTTGGTATAAATGGTATAAAGGCTAATTGACGGTTTTAGTGTCATGTCATCAAAACCTTGTCATACTGCTGCGAGGATTACATGTCTGGTCTTTGGGCTGTAGGTGAAAACATCCTTCAGTTGATCCAAAAGACAAATCTCCTCTCCCCCCCCCTTGGACCTTAAAAAGGAAGCATAGATGTGATCTTGCTGAAGAATCAATTTAATTTTAACAAAAATAATAAATACAGTGGAATATTTAATGTCAATTTGGAACAACCCTCCTTTCATCATTTATATCTAGATCTGCATCTAATGATCACTCACTTTAAAAAACAAAACAAAAGTACATATGCATGCACTGAAGACATTTCCAAAATGGCCTCAAGCATGCAACCATCTCATCAGTGTATACAGTGATATACTGCCAAAGTGGTTGAGTCAGATTATAATTTGGTCCTGACTGGCCAATTTGGAACTGTAACATTCCTTACCTGCAGCCAGAGGGAACTCGAAGGAGTGAAGTACTGTCTATCTTTTAAAAAAAACAAAACAAAAAACCCACAAAAACACCCACAAAAATTAAATTAAATTCTATTCTGAAATGCTCCATTAGTCATCATAATACATCAACATCAATGGACATCAATGGACACTACTGGAAAGCAGATTTGGCTCCATGTAGCCAAATGGCTGCAAGTTGTGATCAGTTACAAAATTTAGCAGAATATTTTTAACAGCCTCGCTATATTAAATTTGATACCTTTTTTGTGGTCTTTCAAGCAGTTAAGTCTTAATTTTATATTGGAATTTTTAAATGCCTTTTTAATGGGTCAAGTATTTAGCATTACACTTACATTTTAAATTCAAGACAGAGTAAAATTTTCTTTAATTTAAAATATGTAAAATATATAAGCACTCACAGCAAGTTTAAAATTAAGGGAAAGTGACCAAAAAAATTACATGAACCTTAAATTTTCAGTGATGGGTACTATTAAAATCTGAGCCTGTTCCTCTGACCTCCCCTTATGGATAGATGTCTGTCAGTTCAAACTTAACGTAGACTAAAAGTTCTGTTTTAGCCGCCTTCTCCTCCCCAATATCTCTTTTCTTGATCACTGTGGACAGTGCTACCATTCTGCCTGTTACTCAGGCCTGGGCTTCCTCTCTGACTCAGACATCTTTCTAGGCTCTCTCACCGAGGTTATATCAAAGTCTTGCAGATATTTGTGCATAACTTCCCTAAAATATGGCCATTTGAATATATCCACATAGCTAAACTTCTCATCTAGGCTTTCCTCACATTGATTACTGCAGTGTCTCTTTCTCTGTCTTTGGTTAAATCAATTTTCTGTGCTCATTTCCATTCAGAATGTTGCTGCAAAGATCATTTTCCTACCCTGTTATTTTGACTCTGTCATTCTTCTCCTTAAGAAAAGGAGTACTTGTGGCACCTTAGAGACTAACAAATTTATTTGAGCATAAGCTCCCTTCATCGGATGCATTCACGAAAGCTTATGCTCAAATAAATTTGTTAGTCTCTAAGGTGCCACAAGTACTCCTTTTCTTTTTGCGAATACAGACTAACACGGCTGCTACTCTGAAACCATTCTTCTCTTTGAATCCCTCCACTGGTTCACCTTTTGATAAAAACAGATTTAAAATTTTTATTAAAGCTAAAGTTAAAAAAATTATGTAATACATAAGTTGAGAAAAGAGTGTCTGTACATCTGAGTATAGTGCTTAGATTATTCACAAATACAGTGTTTGTTTTTAAGTCATATGATACATAGAGTACATAATCGGCAATAACCCAAATTTAGGTGAATACATTTAAGAATACAGTTTAGATATTAGCATCCAAGTATTTGGGTATATCACTCATGATAAGCTGTACAGAGATTTGGTTGTGGAAAGCAAAATATATCAATGAGTGGAGATTGTCCCTCAGTAATTGAGAAGTAGGGTAGGTTGTCCATTTAAGGAATACAATCTGTCAGGGAAGTCTTTCAGTTACTTTCCTTACTGTGCTTGCTTCTCATGGCATCAAACATAAGCTACTTGTCTTCATTTTCAAGGTCCTTCACATTCTAGCCTCACCCTACCTATTCTCTCTCATTCAATATCTAATCAAAAGGTTGGCCTGTACCTCTGGCTCACAGCATCATCACCTTCATGCTTTCTCCCATGCTGCCCCTCATGTTTGGGAGAAGCTTCTTGTAAACATCTTCAAAACTGACTCATTATTTTCTTTCAAAATGCTCCTTAAAATTCTCCTTTGCCATGAAGCCTACAGAAAACTTGACAACAGCTAGGCTGTCGATGTGCTAACACAATAGCCTAATCCAGCTGACCAATGCTGTCTCATTTTGTTTCCTTATACTTCTACCCCATCTGTCTGCATGCATCAGTTTTACTTGGACTGTAAGCTCTTTGGGGTAGGCACTGTCTTTGTTCTGTGTGCAGTAGTTAGCACTGAGGTTCCTAGGCAATACTAATTATTATTAATCAAGTGAGCTCCTGTGTGGCCCATGAATGAGAAAAGAACGCACTTAGGTGCCTTCCTGAATTGGACTCTCTTCTACAAACACATCTTCCTTCGCTTAAGCTAGTTAACAAGATTGGGGGGTGGGGGAAATGTGGCCAGTGTGTCACATGAAGAGAATTGTTCCACACCTGCAGGCTTAAATGCATTGACAAAACCTGACAGATGAGGTGGACGGCGTGATATCTTTTATTGGATCGACTTCTGTTTGCATGAAAGCTTGTATCTCTCACCTATACAGAGCTCTTCTTCAGGTCATCTCTAATTTGTTCAGACATGTGGGCTGTACTATTTGTAAAATTAGGGAATGGCTTAGTATATACAAGAAGGGTGCAGGACATGAATAGACTTTGGTGCTAGAAGGTCTGTCTTGAGTGAGTGAGTCCCTGGGAAGAGCACCTGATTTTAGTTCAGTGTATTATGGAGACTGTGTCTTTAGCTCCAGGTCTTCATGAAAGATATTTACACTTCTGAGGGAAAACTCCTGTCTGATATGAAATGCTTCTAGTTCTCCAAACATCCTTGAGTCTCACTCTGTGCTACTCAAATGATCTGTGTGCCTGTGAGACTGAAGAGATCCATAGGTCCCTACTGGAGATTGAGCTTAATATTTCATGAATGTGACAACTGAGGAGTGTCTGATATAGCAGGGGAAACCTTCCTTAGCAGTGTCATTCAAAACACTTCTAGCTTGATAGATCAGCCAGAATCTGGGACCAACCTCAAATTTTGATATGCTATCATGAAAAAGGTTGTTACTCTATTTGGGGGCAGGAGGGGGTCTGCTAAGATTTTCATATATAAACTTTCTTTCTTTTTGGAGTCTTCTACAAAATGATTAGATTAGAATTTCACTGTATCTTGAGCGAGTGTCTTTTTTCCTGTAGTGTTTTCTATACTGGTCTGCAAGACTGTTGGCAATAGCCTGTTTTCAAGGTGATTGTGCTGTATATTTCTGTTTACTATGAAATATTTTTTTCTACCCTAGAAAAAACAGGTGGTCTGAACTACAGACTACCTCTTCTTCCTGCACAGTCAAGAATACCCCTCTTTTCTAATGGAGAAATGTGTGTATAGGTTGTCAAGGTATCTTGCAG